GCGCTCTCCCCCGCAGGGCTGTGGGCACAGTGGAGGCTGGAGGAGACCGGCGGAGGGCACCGAGCGCCCGGGGAGTCCGTGCTCCTCTCCTGCCGCGGGTCCGGCTTCACCTTCGAGAATCATTATGTTCGCTGGTACCGTCAGGCACCCGGAGTGGGGGTCGAGTGGGTGTCCTGGATAAGCCATTATTCATCACAGATTCAGTTTGGACCAGCAGTGGAGGGTCGAGCCACAGCCTCCCGGGACAATTCCCGCTCTGAGGCATCTCTCAGCTTGCACCTCCTGCACGCTGGGGACTGTGCCCGCTACTTCTGTGCTGTTTGCACAGAGACACGAAATCGGCTGAGCTTGAACACAAACCACCCGTCAGTGTCCCAGCCTCGGAGCTGGAAGGGGCTGTGTCCCACAGATGTGCAGGGTTGCTCCCAAAGAGTCCTGTAGTCACAGTATAAAATTTTCAAATGTTTGATTGTACCTTTTGCTGTCCCCTAATGAGCTCTAACCCTTCTGCTTGTCTTCTCCTCAATTTTCAAGTCAGCTCATCTCTCGCCTCCCAAACTGCTTCACCTGGAGAAACCACTTTTCCTGTTTCCCTTGGTTCCCAGTATTATGGGTTCCCAGTGCAAACAGTGAGGTGTGTGAACAGCCCTGCTGTGGTTTTGGGCACGGCTCATGTTCACTCAGTGCAGCCCACGAGTTTTGCTCCCTAAGGGGTGAGAAGAGGAAATGGGGAAATTCTAGATGGTCATTTGGGAGCTCAGTGGAAGATTACAGAACCCTGTGTTTCTTTACCAGATCTGAGATTCTAAAGGGAGCAAGGTTTTGCAGCTGCTGGATCCTGGACATGACAGGCAGAAACCCAGTGATGTGGTGGAGCAGTTTAAGTGACTGCTTAAGCTGTTCCTGTCTGTTCATTCTTGTCTCCTGGGGTTGCAGGTGGCCTTTCCCGAGTGCAGACAAAGGCCTCAGGCCCCACAGGAGGGAAGATGTCAGAGTCTGTCTGGCTTACCTGTCACATCTCTGGTGTCCCCATCACCGACAGCAGCTACGCGTGGGACTGGATCCGGCAGACTCCTGGCAAAGAGCTGCAGCACATAGTGCTGCAATATCCTTTCACTGGGCTCCAGCACGTGGCTTCATCCTTCCAGACCCGAGTCACCAGCTCTGCAGACCCCTCCAGGAACCAGCTGTTGCTGGAAGTGCTCTCACCAACAGCTGCAGACACGGCCACCTATTTCTGCAGCACTCGAGAACTTGAAAAGGGCACAGTGCTTGAAACACAGGCAGGGCCAGGGCAGAACTGGAAGGAGGGGCTTTAATCCAGTGGGGTCTTTTGGGGTTGTTGCAAGGCAAGACTCTTCCCAGACTTCTCAAGACTAGTCTAGTCTGTCTTTTCCCAGAAACAGATGCAATAGTAGCAATAACAGCAGCAGTCTCCCACAAGCACACCCCAAACCATGAACATGTTGTTAACTTATCACTTCCTTCTCAGTATCTCCCACAGGCAGAAAGAGCCAGGGAAACAGGGTATTTGGGGATTTTTGTTTGTTTGTTTGTTTGTTTGTTTGTTTGTTTGTTTTTATTAAATAATGTGCTGGTTCTGGCTGGAGTAGAGTTAATTTTCTTCATAGTACCTAGAATGGGACTATATTTTGAATTTGTGCTGGAAACCGTGTTGATAATTCAGGGGTGTTTTAGTTATTGCTGAGCAGTGCTGACAGACAGTCAAGGCCTCCTCTGCTCCTCCTACTACCCACCAGGGAGTAGCTGTGGGTGCACAAAATTTGAGAGGGAGCACAGCTGGTTCAGCTGACCCCAACTGACCAAAGGGGTATTCCAGACCATATCACATCATGCTCAGCATTTAAAGATGGGGGAAGAAGAAGGAAGAGGGGGGACATTGAGTGATGGCATTTGCATTTCCATGTAACTGTTGTGCTTTTCTGGAGTAGGCTGAACTCTTGGGTGTTGATGGAAGTATTGAATGAATTCTTTGCTTTGCTTTGCTTGTACTCACAGTGTTTACTTTATTTATTAAACAGTTGAGTTCTTTATTAAAGCCATGAATTTTCTCATTTTTACTGTTTCAATTCTCTCTCCCATCCAACCAGGGGGAAAGGAGAAAGCAGCTGTGTGGTGCTGAGTTTCCATTTGTGGTGAAACCATGACAAAGAAACAAATGAGCATTGAATGAGTTAAAATTTTAACATGGAA